AATCTTACGAAGCTAGGTCTGAGCTTTGCTATTTTAAAGAATGCAGAATTCAAAGGAAATATAATATTGGATCAATAGAATTGTATATGGTGATGTCCATGTACTTTACTTGTTCACATACATATCTACTCCACTAAAATGATCTGACAGCTATAGTTGAAATCCACCTATAAAATATGTTAATCACCATTAACTAGAAAAAAAATTAACCACATTATTAGTAGCGTAAAGTCAAAATACACTGAAGCATCACTCTTTACTAAGGTACATGATGTGTGGTATCAATCTACTCTGCCAACTCACAGGAGGAGAGATATTAAGTGTATTTCTTAAGATATTAAACTGTTTCTTAAAGGAACTTTGAATAAACTACATTGCGCAAGACGTGACTGCACATTTTCACAGCCTTGTGTATTCCACCATATTTAAGCTCTATTCTTAGACCTGAAGAAACACATGAAATACACACTTGGCGAGGTAGATGGCACACACAGCTCCAGGGTACAGATGTGGAATCACAGTGGGTAAAACCAGGTGAGGGTTCATCAGGTCAAGAGCAATCTGCAACAGAAATAATCCATCAGGTGGATGAGCCAGTTTCATCAAATGTCTTTCCCAGTTGTAATACACTGAATCTATATAGTTGATTACAATACTGTTAACATTCTGACCGCATGGAATGCCTGACCGGCGAGGAGCGAGGAGGCCGTGCAGAGGTCAGCGTTGTGAAACTGGACGTTGTCGGGCCACATCTCCCCCCGACGCAGGCTCCATGATGTCCTCCAGCGGTTGTAGTTTTTCACGGCTCTCTTAAGGTGGTCCTCCCTGACCTCCACACTCAGCACGCTGCCCTTAGACCCGACTGGAAATAACAAGAGCAAATCCTTTCTATAATATACTCCACGTACAGCAGGTTGAATGAGTTGCAGAACTATGATAACCTTTTACCCTTCACCTCAACCACTTGCCTTGATCACATATACTAAGTGATAAATTGTAAAAAAGCTGCTTTTGAATAGAGCATGGAAATGATTTTAATAGTTTGTACTGAGGATTATTTTTCAATACAGGCAGCGTGAAAACCCTGAGAATAAAATAATGTTGTTAAAGATTTGTCAAAATCTATTGAAAAACCTCAGGAAAGTCTTGTTTTCAGTATGTGAGGTTTAAACTAAAATGTTACCCATAAACTATAAACCTGCCAGACTGCAGCTGTTTAGTTACCAATATTATTGCTTTAATATTATTACTTTATATTCTTTATTTAATGGATCTTTTGTGTGAAATCCGTATCAGCTCTATTTGTTTGTCTCTTGTGAGGGAGTCCTCTTTTCCCACTGAAGTTTTCTATCAGTCTCATATAACTTATATTGCTTATTTATTAACCTATTTTTACAATGTGTTGTTCTTTGTAACCTAAACGCCATGCCAGGTTTTTTTTTTCTTTCATTTAGGCATTCATTTTATTTTGTGCAGTGAATTGTCAATAGATTTACTCTAATTCTTTCTAATTCTAATCCTTAGTTAAGCGCCCTTTGTGTCAAACTCTATTATCATATTTAAACAACCTTTAGTGAAACAACTAAAATTAAAGCTGGAAACCAAAATATTCTGGAGTAAAACCTCTTAATTAACGTTGTCTACTGTAATTTAAATAAACATTCATATAAATAAAACAGTAGCAACTGTGAGACCTTAGTTTTTCAAGCAATGCATATTTCAGAATCCTTCTATTTTCCAGTGTACTGAACATAGGACTAGGTTATAAAACAATAGCAAATATATGACAAAAGTTCAATATATATCAATATATTACTTATGTGCTGTACAATCTCAGTGAGGACATGAGGAAGTCTTTGTCATTCTCTGCACATCAAGAGTTTAAATAAGGAACTTTTACTCAGAACAAAAATTTGTCCTTAAACTTGAAAGTTATAATATGAGAAGACCATTTTGGCTGTATCACCCAGTCGGTACGTTTTTTAAATAATTCCTTTAACCCAACAAAACTTTCTCTTTCAGGAAACATGAAACTTTAACTGTAATGGGTCAACCTCTTAAGGTGCTTCCATGTTAATGTTAGACAGACAAACACAGACCTGCTCTCGACAGGAACAGAGACATGGCCCCTGATCCAGAGCCTGACTCCAGCACACTGTCTCCCTCTGTGACGTCCATCATCATCAGCATGGTGGCTGCATCCTGGTGGAAACAAGAAAGATCCAAAATTCAGGTGTCTTTGAGAGGAGCAGTTTATTCGTGCAATCCTGAAAACACACAGGAAACGGCATGCATATTGGGAAAGACGACAAAAATACCTTTGGGTAGGCGATGGCCGGCCCCCTCCTCATATGCAGCACGTAATCCTCCAGACTGGCACGCCGAATGAGGATGGGCACGCCCAGGCTTGACTTCAGGAACTGACCCGCTGGCTGCCCGGCTATGTCATCGTGCAGGATGAGCCCCCAGCTGCTGTGCAGACGAGTCCCAGTCTGAAGACTGAACATCTTCCTGAAGTCCACCCAGCCATTCTTGTAATACTCAGCCACGAGCAGCTCCCCAGGCACAAGCAAGTTCTCCCCTGGGAGAGAGGCTGGCGTTAACCTCTCTGAAGGTTCTGCAGCGGCCTCAGATGCATGATGGTCATCTGATCCATCCTCTCGAGGTGCTGTCTCAGGATGTCCACTCTGCTCTTGTGTGTGGTGTGTGAGTGACGCCGGTGTGTTGGAGTTGTCCTCAGCTCGCTCCTGGTTCTGCTCTCTCAGCTGCATCACCTCCGGGCTCAGAGCATCCTGAGGCAGCAGACTGCTGATCCTCTCCAGAGGGGACAGGGGTCTCCTCCTGCGCAGCGGCGCTTCTCTGGGTGTCAGCTTGGTGCTCAGACCGGAAGGGTCTGGGTCCTCTCTCTCCTTCTCGTTATATTTCACAGAAGCAGTTGAAAAAGTTCTAATCCCACTTTTCGTGAGTTTAACTAGTGAGTGTCTGTGTCTGACGTGTCTCTGACTGCATGTGCAAACTCTCATCAGTCTGTGCACAAACAGAAACCCAGCCCCCGGCACTGGTAGAGTCATAACTCCAGAAATAAACCTAGACAACAGCTGCCCTTATTAAAAACAATATGTGTTCACTTTAGTAAACAGCTCAACTAAATGCAAGAGTATAACATGCAGAGATTAAACGTACTCCCCTTTCAGTGTGGTCATTCAACTGTCATGGGTCTGGAGCTCTGCTGGACCTGCAGCCTGAACAGAGAGAAGGTCACCATGCTGGAAAACACACGTGATCCACGTCATCACTGAGCGACAGATGTAGTACATTAAGTCTACCAGCAGAGGGAGACATCACAACTATGTTATACACATGGACTGCAGTTGCCACCGTGGTGTACACCTAAACCACTTGTGTAGAATATCAATATATGTTATGTGTTGGCATGCAGAATATTACAAACTATTTAGTGTGATGCTGGTAATGTGCTGTTTTTTTAAATGTGTTTATTTTATTTTTTATATTTACAGCACTAGAAACAAGTCAGTGTTTAATCCCTGTGCATTTATGATTGTAAGAGTCTGACATGAAGCATAACTAAGAAACTCAATAACTAGTTACTCACTCTCTCACTCACTCTCTCTAACTCACTCACTCTCTCACTCACTCTCTTACTCTCTCTCTC